ATGAGATTGATAATGGGCATTAGGCCAAAAGGAATGGCGAGAGCGTAGACTCCTAGCATAATGTTGGACACGCGCTCCTTGACGGCGAAGCTATTGAACGGTCACTCGTTAGCCATATAGTTCATTTCAGAGATAAAAACGATAAAATATGAAACGTACGGGTATTGGATGGTTTCATCGTTTAAGGAAAACCGCCGTCGGAAGCCATGTACGTTATCGAGGGCCAAAAATAGAGCGCTACGAAGCGAGCCAGCAGTCAGCAAGTCGGACTAGAGGAATATAAAACAGTAAAAAGTGCTTGAAAGAGCACGATAACTCACGCTACACCGATCGTCAGCAGCCTTGCAATGGAAGGTCGTGTGAGCACCAAACGGGCATGACGTTGGGAGAGACTTACCAGTCACCCGTGTAGCTAGCCAGCAGCTTCCACATCCTCACCCTCTTGGATCTCTTGTACGATGCAGAGGATCCTGCAGCACCGGTTTGTTTGGCAGTCGAGTTGGATTGGCCCATGACGATTGGACTCTGCTTGGATGGGTTTGCCGAGTTGTTGTCGACTGCAGTGTGAGCTGGAGAGGGTGAGGGAGAACTTGGTGGTCGAACGTCTGGCCTTTTATGTTGAAAAAGAGACATGTGCGGGCACGAAGGTGTTCAAGATGTAGGCGAGCTAGACGGGAAGGCTAAAACTGAATAGAAGCCGTCGGACGCCTCCAACTCCAACTAAACCCCTACACAGCTGCGGCCTGCGGAAATGGAAAAGCCCTCCGGGATTGTTGGAATTTATTTATAACTGCTCACAACTCATTCACAAACTATATTTAGCACTACCAGGCGTTCCTTAACTTTATTTCGAGTGATCTAAGACACATCAACGAGCAACTGGAGCCGTCGGGCAACTGGCATCGGGAGTCTAAACACATTCAAACGATCTCCAAATACGGCAATGATTTCTCCCAGGCACATTTTTATATCTGTATACGGGAAATGGTTAGTCTATGCCACAGAAGAGCCCCGAGACGAGCGGCACTCACCATCCATCAACGGTACCACGACCTCAAATATAGCATCGTTCACCTCGTTCATGTCATCTGTTAATTCAGTATGACCAGTTTTGAGTTCTCTTTCATAATCTTCGAGCGCCAATAGTGTGCTAGTGAGGCACTCGAGTACTTTTGGGATATCCTGCTGTAGTGTGCCATATGCATCCTCTGTCAACGACGCCACCGTAAAGCCCGTGAGGACTTGAAAAGAAAAACATATCAGCCCGCAGTATTTATCAACGTAGTTGACCGCAGTCATAGCTCACTTTGTACACAAAGCCGATCCATCTCCCGACCCTTGAGGATCCCGCTTGCAATGTTGCCTACCCTTTCCCGCTCGAACCACCGTTTCAGATCCACGGCCGTCTGCGGAAGAACCACAAACGGTTCATTACCTTGTCGTAAAGAGGGTACTCGTGTTGTCAGCTGAGTAAAGAGGAAGGCGATGCCATCTTTGATTAGCCCCGCCAACGTTTTGCGAGGCCCGTCATCAGGGGGCCCTCCTGGCGCTGGTGCTGGTGCTGCAGCTACGTTGTCCTTGTTCTCCGTAGGTCCTTTGACAACGAATACGCTTGGCATCACGCTGGCCTTGAGTGGGGATTTGGCCTCTCCAGCGCTCCCATTCGCATGGGCCGGTGGCGTGCCTGCATCTGTGGTCGTCGCGGGTGAAGAACTCGCTGATAACAAGGATTTCAATAGCTGCGATCCGGGAGAAGGTGCTGGGAGGGGTTTGTATACGGACGAGCTCAAATTGGTGATGTTGGACTTGCGAGGGGTGCTAGGAGTCGCGGTTACCGCGGGTGAGGCAGGGGCCGCTGGACGGTCCGGAGCTGGCTTCCCTCGCCGTTTGATGAATCCATAGTCTTGTCCCAGGACCTTGAAACACGACCTCGAGATAAAGTTCCACTTGCCAGGGTCATTGAAGATGGCCACCCTCCGAGAAGCGGGGCCTTTGTGTGCGATATGAGACAATTCTAAATATGCCAGGTGCTATAACTTCTATGAGTTGCCTTGTCTCAACCCACGACCTAATCCCTCACCTTGTAGTAATCCGACGATGCCTCCAGCCCACTTCGCAAACAGGCATCCGGATCAGGACTGTCTCGACTGAGAAGCATGCCGCGTCCACAGAGGCTATCAAAGAATGCCTGTGTGTTCTCATACTGGATCATTGTCACCAATCCCAGTACGAGAAGGCGGGGGAATAGGTAGCCGAGGATGGAAAGGCTAGTGCTAGGTCGAGCAGCGTGCAGGATGAACGGCCTAATGGAATTGTAAGGTTGATAAGACCGGGAAAGAGAGAGCTACTCACTTGATCATTGTTCCTAGTATGGGTGTTCGCAACATGCTCCTATAGACAAGCTTTCGGAAGAAAAGATAAAATATCGAAAATGTCGACGCTGTACACACAGTTATTATGATGGGGGTTAGTGTCTTGAAAAAGACAGTAGCATGATCGACAAGTGTCGTTGGCTTCAATGACTACAGAAAAGTATTAGCAACCTGTCAATATACAGAACCG